CGCTCCGCTCGGCTCAGTGGGGCGGAGCCGCCTCTGTCGCGGGAACTGACGCTGCCTCTGGCAGGAGCAACGCCTTGGCGCGTCCCGGCCGGCTCCGTAGGTGTGGCGGGAAGGGGTGGTAGGTCCCTCGGCCTGGGGCCGCGCGAGCTCAAGAGCCCGGGCCTACGCCGCAGGACACGTGCGCGCAGCAGAGTCGCCGTACCGCACATCGTGGCGTGGCACGCGGGGCCCGGGCTAATGCGCAGTACATGCAGCCTAATGCACAGCAGCGTCACCAAAAAACCCCAACCCCAGTTCATCTGGCCAAGGGACAATAGCACTGGTTACAGCGCATTGAGTACCTGTAATTACAGGCACTAAACGCATCGTAACTATGGCGTTAATGAATGTGTAGGCGCACCCAGAGACTTCATTTTAATCTAGTGATTGTTTCCAGATTTTCTGCTGGAGGTGGAACTGGGGCACAAACCCAGGCTGCAGGTTCATTTGGAGTAAAGCTCATCCTTTTTGTATAAATATTTCATTTGGGCCAGGATTTAGGAGTCTTTCTCCCATCCCAGTTGAGGGTCCTGACTCCCAACTTCAGCTCCTGGGCAACGTGTCTCTTGACAGCCTTGTCACTAGGTGAGCTCCTGGGTCCTAGACCGGGGTTCTGGCCCACTTCCAAATCAGGCAGCAGTCCAGGCAAATGCCATGACTACCTGAATTATTAGGTAGCCCCATGCATGCATGCCAGCTGGCACCTTATCTGGGGTTATTTTTTGTGCGAGTCTTAATCCAGTAGGCACTGAGAATTCCTACTGGACTAGACCCTGCTGGTAAAACAGGATGCCTAGTCTGAGATTCCCAAATCCCACTACAGTTCAGGCAGCATCATGACTTCAGATGTTCTGTGCATTCCCAGAGTTTGAAATGTAGGCATATATAGGACCAGGACGTAGCTAAGGAAGGTGTTGATGATCTCAGCTACATGTAGATATTGGAGTTAACCACCAAAAATGGTAGTAAAGTTGCTTAAATTTGTTTGTAAATCTAGACCCAAGTAATTTAGGAGCACTGTAGCAACTTGTGCTTCTAAGTAATTCAGGCACTTTGGGAATTCCCCTGAACAGCACACACTCAAAGTACTTCACCTACCATTTTACTCTGAAAGTAAGACTAGAATCAGCATTAAACAACTGAATAAAAAACCTGTCCATCATTATTTACATTTTAAAGCACTTCCAGAGCTAAGAAATATAGTTAACCAATAGCATAAGATTATGGAACAATATTCTTAAAAGGTTTTTTGATCATTGGAGAGGTGTTCATACAATTAGGGGCATTATTTTTTTTCTTCCACTATGTCAGTAGCTAGTTAAAATAATCACAGTACATGCACTGGGGAGCTAAAGTCTTATTAAACCTTTCAGCCACACTTAGCTCTTTTACATAGAGATAAACCTGAAGATATAAATCAAAATAAGCAAATATTTATAATCAGCAAACAGCTGGACTCTGCTTCTTTAGCAGGAGACTGGGAGAGGGGAGTAAAGCAGGGGATATCTTTTATATATGTGAGCCAGTTAAGCTTGGAGTGTATCACCAGGAATCATCTAGCTTTCCTCAAAATCAGGTCTGCCTATGCACTTACATGATCAAGGCAGACAGTAATCACAATGAAACCCAGACTCAGCCAGCTCCAGATAACTCGGTTAGTAATCTATGAGCTGAATCTTTCTACAACCTCATTTGCTACATGTGAAATCTCTCCTGGATCCCCCACAGTGCTACTGAAAGATGAGAAGCACATTGAGTAGTTCCTATGTCTCACTACTATAAAAGACATAAAGAGGGCCCTAAATTTAGGAGTCCCTCAGGTATTTTAACTGATCTCTTCCCCTCAATGGTACCCGATCTCCAAGCCTAGATCTTTAATTTGAAGAATCAGAACTAGAATCCTTTCCGGACACCTGATTTTTACTATCTTCTACCAGTCCCCCACAGTTGGCAGAGGGACCCAGTAGTAGGCTGGAGCCTGGCCTGCCTTAAGAAAAGGAAACCCCATTCTTTATCCAGTCAAGCTCCCCAGTAGAAGGATCCCACATCACACTTAAACCACCTCACTGTAACAGAATGCAGAACACCTGTCACCATTTGGGGAGCTAACTAAAGCCATCTACACTAAGTACTGAGCAAGTGGAAGTATGGTGATCTAAGTGTGTGTGCTGGGGTCTGAGGGGAAGAGGAAGAGAAAAAAAACAAACTTTGTGAAGTTGATTACTGAGGCTGGTTTTCAGCAGGGTATTTTATAAAGGGAAATACTAAATGTGTTGCCTACTTCAAAGAAGCTGCTTTTCAAAAGATAATTCTAAGTCTTAACCTGAGTTTCATGTACCCCTAAGAATTACATTGCAAGCAATTATGTCAGGAAAACCCAACTCTCTGGCCAAACAGGTTTAATCAAAGAATGTTGCTTCTGTGCTTCAGAAATATAAATGGATAGGTTGCAAAAGAGAATTTTTTTTAACGGTGTGTGCCAAAGTTAGCATATTTACACAGTAGAAGGCAGGGCAGAATGGTACTTCAGAGACTAATTCAGAAATGTTTAAGCTTTCATAGGCAGCAGCCTACTCTTTACATGGTGAGACTTGAAGGCCAAGATGGACAAGCTGCATACAGTTCTTCACCCAAGATTCATTTTCTATCCTAACAGTTGATTCTTCACTGTGTGTGCACACATGTATATTGCAGGGAGAAGAAAACAATGTTATTTTCATAGTTGCTGAACATTTTTAAGAGAACATTGTTTAGTAAGCTATAAATACTTCATTCATATCAGGCAAGGTTCTTTGAGTAGATGCGATATCTTTTATTAGACCAACTGAGTCTTTCATGTTAGAGGCATTTAGTGTAAGCATAAAAGATTTTAATAAAAGCTTAGAGACAATACAGGCTACAGTGGTTTTACTGGATTAAGAATTTTTAAGATTTAATAGTTTGTAGCAGGCAAAAGGAAAAACTGAACATGTGGCTAAAGCCACCACGGATCTGGTGCTGTTTAAGAACATTGCAATAATAAAGTGTAGAGAAATCAAAATAACAACAAAACAAGAAACAATTAAGAAATACCAAGTTGTAAGCCATTATTTAAAGGCTAGAATCAATCTAAGGTTTTCTTGTAATTGATTACAAAGATGCTAAAATAGCTGCAAGTCAGTCTTACTGTGCTACACTGCTAGGAGGAAATCCAATTAGGCAGTTACAGAATGACAACTGTCAATTCTAAAATTGATATTAATCTGCATTCAGATTAATCTGCATCTGTTAAAAATTGAGTAATCTGGAAAAATTAGAATTATTTTTTGATGTTCTCAAAATTCTGCAAGCAGATGACTACTAGCAACTCCTTTTCCCCCTAAAAATAAGTGCTGCCAAAGAATTATTAGGGAATGATAGCCACAATTTAAAAGTTGGTTAGAGGTTTTAAAGAAGGATTTTAATTTCTCCTCCTGGAGAGGTAAGTACACAAAACTCATGATCAATTTCTTCAATAACAAGGCACAAGATACTAGTTAGTTTCTTAACTTTAGTATCCCAAACTCTTCTTTCATGAAGATTGCGTAGACAACCTAGGGTTAATAGATGGATTACCAAATCTGCCTTTTGCTGTTAAAACTGTGATTAAAAGTAAGTTATCAAGATGTGCTGTAGTTTCTAACAGGAAAAAGGGAATGAGACTATTCAAACAAAGGAAGTGTTTTGTTCTCACATGTCTAGAGACAGAAACAGTCTCCTCACTGGTATACACAGAAATACTAGTTATATAAAAGCAGCAAAAAAGCATGAAGAGACAGAGACAGAACTGTCTGCTATCCATACAGGGCTGTATCTGAAAAAACACAACAGAACAGATCTCCAGAAAACCATACACTAGGTACACCCAATATAAATACAGTTTCCAAGGATTAGCCTTCTGTAATCACTAGGGCTTGAAAAAGTGTTGACAATTTTTTTGCATTTCTACAAGCAACAGTGCAGATGAAAAGTAACTTGCTGGCGCTTTTACTAGTAGGAATATAATAATGGAAATTAATAAAACAATTCTTTGTACCTAATACATTTAGTAATATTTCCTTTCTTCCAGTTAACAGAGTTTGCATTCATATTTTGCATATTTGAATCAATTCTGGATTCTTCCCCACTGACCAAAGAAATCTGAACCTACCCTTCCATTTCTTTATAGAGTTGTCTCCCATCCACTTTGTCTTGGTCATACAAGTAAATACAGTCCTTGCTAGTACTCCTCTGTCTCTTTCCTAGGCATGCATGGTGGCTTTTATGTTTCAGTAACTGGCTAGTAAAATTTCAAGGGAAGTCAGCAAGTTAAATTTCCTCCTCAGGCATTTTAAGCTAAAGCCACAGAAGTACATAGGCCAGAGATCCTCCTGGCTACCACATAACTGTATAGATACCTATTGTTCCACAAGTAAAGTTTCTTAAATGCCAAAATATTTGCTTCTGCACATGTCCAAAACTTCCTCAGTCATAACAATGCTAACCTGCTCAGTGCCTGGCTCATGCCTAAGCAATATTAGCATCCAAAACAAGTTTTTTAGCTGATCATACTCTCCAGACCCAATTCAGTAACTCATCTCAGAGCACACTTCCCAGACTGGGCCTGCAGAGAACACAGCCACAGGAAGTGATAATGGTGCCCACTTCATCTAATAGCTCAGTGGTTAAAATGCTCACCTAGGCTGTAGAAAACCCAGATAAGTCCTTCTTTTGCCTGAGGGAATTTGAATTTGCTTCTCCCACATCATACCTAAATGCTCTAAGCATAACTAGAGTAACTGCATTTGGGGTTTCTCATTCCCTTCTTTTGAATAAGTCTTATTTTGCATGGAAAAGTTAAATATTTATTGAATAAGAAAAAGTGTATGTATGACCAGAAGTCCATTGTCTAGCAGAGGGGATGGGGAGGGGAACCCAAGTTCCAATACTTCTGGTGATCTATTATACATATTTTATATTAAAGTATTCATGCAACAAGGTCTGAAAAAAACAGGCCTTCCCCTTCCCAGGTAAGCACCCTAATCACCAAGCTCCTCTTCCCCTGCTGTTTTGTAAGAGGCCTGACACTGGTGCTTAGATACACCTCTTTTCTCTGCATTTCCTGTGAGCTGGCTGAGATGACTCCCAGCTCAGCAGCCAGCTTTCATGAATCCCAGTCTTAAGAAACCTAATCTTCCTTATACACTGTACAGGGCCTAAGCCTAAACTAAACCAAGTCATGAATTCCACTAATTGACAGGGTGCCTAAACACTAGCTGCTGCCATATTCAGTGTTGCAGCACCCAACTCCTTGCCCATGGTTTTTAAGAAAGGTGGACAAGTTTTCTTACATTTTTAAGGAGCCACAAGGATAAGAACTTCATGGAAGTGATGTCCTATTGGATGGGGGGTGGGGAGGGAGGGATGCAGGATGTCCAGAAGGCCTTTGTTGGAGAGAACAAGTGCTCACAACAGAGAATACTGGCAAGCAGTGACATTTCTCCTCAACCATTCTTGGATAAGACAGATACGCCTGCCTTACCTCTGAGGTCTTAGACTTTCTGTAACTTCCGTCACAAAAAGGTTTGCTTACTATTATGGAATTCTCCATGCCTCATTCATCTCTGAAAAAAATGCAACTACTTATTTTCTCCCCAGTATCACTAATTACAATTAAAATGATTTGCCAAAAAGGAGGGTTATGCAACAAATACTGAAAATAGTAAGAATCTGGATTAATTGGATTTCCTCCAGAAGCTAGTTCTAGTTTCAAAAGACAACTTGGATTACACCAGCTTCCTTGTCACTGATTTCACCTAAGTTTGTCTGCATCTGCAACTGAGATGTGGCAGCTGGTCTTTTCACTTCAAATAATAATGTTTATGTACCCCTACAGTTAAACTCATACATAATGCCTAATAGAACCACAAATCTAATAAATTCAGAAGTGAATAGTAAAACCCCTGAAAGAATCCATCTCTCTTATTAATTCCAAAGCAGAGCTGTCAAAAAACCATAGTTCAAAGACAGAAAGGAGGCACTTCATAAAATCCAAGGTCTTTCAGAGTAAGGACAAAGGAGGAACTCTTGCAAAGGGCAACAGCTCTTACATTTTAAGTGTGTAAACCAGTGATTCTCCAACTCGAGGTACCCATCAACAGGCTGCAGGCTGTTTTCTTCAGCCACCTACTGGAAGAGGGGCAGCAGTGGACCTTGAAAGTTACACATGTAAAATGCTGTGTTGCTGCTGTTTTAACTGTGCCTAAACCTGGGACAACCAGAACTGCCTTAAATGAGATGTCTGTTTACATGTGACCAAGCTAGGAGTGATTCAAATGTAGTACAACTGCTACAACTTGAACACTGGATGTTTGGCATTCTTATTTATTTTTCTCATTCTAATCGCACTCATAAAGAAACTCTTATAAATCATGATAAAGTTTAATGTATATGAATGTCAACAAAAATTATACCAATATACTGCTAGTGAATGATGTGTTGAATAGGTTGTTTAGAAAGCTCTATGAAACAGTTAAGTATAGCATTAGTATGCTCTTTTTATTGGCATACAGTCACTACCCATATCAGTGCACTTGTGTAAAAGAAATGTAATTTTCATAGTTACAGGAAGTGACAATTCCAGTTGTTGGTAGAGTATATAAAGCTTGCACACACATTTTTTGTATTATTATTGAACAGATAATATAAAATCTGGACTGAAAACCAAATGCAGTGCATCATGGAAACTGTATTCCTCAGCAGTTTATCTTCATCTTAATTGTAGTTGTTTTTTTAAAAAAAAGAAAATCTACTCATTCCCAAATATCTAAACTGTCAAGCTATTTACCTCTTCAGAAAATCCTTGCTTGTACCAAAAACCTAAAGGCTGTTCAGAGTGCAAGTTTAAAAAGTAGTGTATTGCAAACTATGCCTTCCTCTGAGAGGTATGACTGACTACTCTACCTATAGAATGTAATTCTTTTGGGTATGTTATTTTAACTGAATTAATTCTTATCAGTCTATGAAACACAGTTTTGACAAACATGCATTTATTCACACAGGTTATTAACTTGTTCAATAAACATATAGTTAAAAAATGTGAACTCTGTGGAAGCACTACAAATCTCTGCCTGTAATTTACAGAAAAAAACACCTTGGCAAAAATCTTATGTAATGGAATCCTACTTTTAGTGGAGTGGATAATTTCTTTCAAGAAGACATGCATTGCAAATTTAGCCTAGTACAGTTTATTTCGTCTTACAAGAGAGAAACCTCAGAAATATCTTACTTAATGACGTTATGCAGCTTGCTTTAGAAGTGAACATCATACCAGAATTTATAGGCACAGATTTCTGCACCAGAATTTTAGCCTCTCTCTAAATTAATAGCCTTTATAAGTCACCAGTCAACTAGTGGATTTTTTTTTTTTTGTTCTGTAGTCTGGTTCATTATAATGAGTTAATTTTCTTCACTAAAAAGGACACCGATTAACTTCTTTCATTATAAATTACTGTAATGTTAAAAGAATGAGGAACTGGTTAGATAGAAACCTAACTAAATACATTTAACTAAAATTACAATTCTCTTAATTCTAAAAATATATATCGGTTTAAAAAGTTTACTACATAGTTGTCGTGTGTCACAAAGAAAGTTTACCTAGTCTCTCAGTTTTTGTCTCTGTGCACATGTGCACACAACCAATAAAATATCTTATTCAGAAATTGAGTCTTATTTAAACAATAATCCCAGATGTCCAGAACATTCTTTTGAACACAAAATAAAAAGTGTTTGATTGAGGAATAGAGTTCCAGAGCTGAGAACTAGTGTCACACACGATCAGTTACTTGCACATATTCCCACTGGTGCTTGGTCTGTTTTGGCATATTTCAAATTACAGAGTAATCCATACTTTACACACACAGCATATGCTACTTGATAGTCCAAAAAAGAAGATTCAAAATCTGTTAGACACTTATCTAAAGGAAAAAAAAGTCTATTCTTTGTTCTCCTTAACTCCCACCCAGTTGATTTATCTCAAGCAAAGCCATGGATAACTTACATACTTTGACATGTGATAGAAGTTAATTTTTTTTTCAAAGTATTTTTAAAATTTGATATACAAAAAAAAGCTGCCTTTTTAAAAAAAAAGTATTTTCTATCGCTTAACACAAAATTAAGGTGCAAGAACTTTAAACAAAAATGAACTAAAGAGCTTTATTGACATCACAGTACATTCAATAGTAATTTTAAGAACATTACAGCTGAAAGAGAATGGCATGTTTATATTCTTATTAAGCACTACTGTTTTTGAAAAAATGTCATACAAAGAAATCCAAGTAAGTATTTAACTCTGAGCAGCATTTGGAAAAAATACACCTATTTACAGATTAAAAAAAGGATTCTGATTTCACCTACATAGCCACAATGTGCCTCTATAATGAGACAAGCCTTTATAACTCATGGAATTTTTAAAACGTCATCACACTGGTGCCACCTCATTCCTCAGCGTTTACGACGGGGAGGGGTGGTTGACCTGAAAAGTAAAGGAAAAGAGGGAAAAAGTTAATTGAAATATGGTCCACAAAACTATGGGAACTTTAGGCTTAATAATTAGTCATTTTAAAAGATTTTCCAAAGTTACTTCTGCCCAAGACAATAATTTTAATGAATACCAAACTTTATTTAAAAAAAAAAAAAGCTCTCATATGTTGTACACATGAAGACGATAGTAAAAAAAAAACTATAAATCAGACAAAATACTTAAAAAGTATACTACCTTGATCGTGACTTAGACTTGTGTTTGCGGCTTGCCTTCTTACCAGACCTTTGAGATTTCTCCATGGATCGCGATCGACTGTGCTTCGATTTCTTAGCCTTCTTTTCTTTGCTACTCCCTGGTGATTCAGAACTGCTCCTTGCACTAGATTCAGAGCCTGAATGTTTTTTACTATCTTTGGTAGAACTTTTTTTGCCTTCCTGTCTAGAATCTTGTCTTAATATTTTAACAGATATTGAATCACTTCGAGAAAGAGTTCTTTCACTTTCTCTTTTTCTTTTTAACCTATTTTCATCATGATTTCCTGTCTTACTATCTTTTTCTTCTTTTTTTTGCTTCTCTTTTCTTTTTTCTTGGTCTCGATCCCTTTCTCTATTCTTTTTCCTATCCTTATCTATGCTCCTACTTCGTTCCTTTTTCCTCTCCTGATCTTTACCATCACCTTTATGTTTATGCCTATTTCCACTAAGATTTCTATGCTGGTCATCACTTTTACGCCTATCCCTACTCCTGCTGCGACTAGCACGACTAGCTCTCCTGTCTCTTGAATGACTGTTGCTTCTATGTCTCTCCCAACTCCTTTCTTGGGAAGGACTACGATTTCGTCGTCTTTCCCCTCTTTCCATACTTCTATTTCTGCTGGACCGCCTCCTTTCTCTTATCTTTTCCCTACTTCTACTCCTTTCTCTACGATTTCTATGAGAATAACTCCTGCTTCTACTGCGTCTAACTTTATGTGAAGGAGATCTACTGCGACTATGCCTCTTCTTCCTTTTAGGAGAGGAAGAACGTGAAGAACTGCGGCTACTACCTGAGCTAGTACTATACGAAGAACTAGACACAGTGCTGCTGCTACTACTGCTTCTGCTATTGCTGCTACTGCTACCACTACTAGAACTTCTTGATCTACTCCTTCCTATTCTTTCCCTTTCTTTAACATCTTTTTTGAGTTCAGTATCTGGTGCAGTTTCAGTTGGGGATCTTTTCTTTTCATTAACCATGTCATCCTCGGTTTCTTTTATTTCACACGGTGAAAAGCTGCTATTTTGCTCTTTGTTGGTATATTCACTCATATCTTTTGGAATTTTTTCATTTTGTAGTTTTTCTTCTGGAAAAAGTATATAAAAGAAATATGGAAGTAATGCCAAGTAACATACAGATATTGGTAAGAAAACAAATACACTGTCTCTCTTGGGAAAGGGCCACATTCCCAAGTAGCATTTGTAATTTTTAGAAATCAGCTTATTTACTAATCCTCAATGCCACCACTGTAGACTCTTTTTTTTTTTTTTTAAAAAGAGCTTTCGTGTGCAATTACAAGGAGTAGCTACAAGTAAGTACAAAAATACAATTACATTACTATGCAGTTAACAGGAGTGCAGTTAAATTACAAAGTAGACAGTAGGGCTGAAAGTTGCTATGCACTCAGGTGGGAACCACTAAACAGTTTGTTACTATGTAAACCAGCAGTGTCAAAGACAGGGGCTGGAGCCTGTTAAGCTATGAGATACAGTTAGGACAGCTGCTTGCAGGGCCTGAAATTTAGAGGTGGGTCAAATGGCAACAGTGTTAAGTGCTGTGCCTCATCTCACTGGCATTTCTGACTTGCAGGTAGCTCTGCTGGTCAAATCTGGAGTACAAAATTGTGTCCTTTGGCTCTTGGGACTGCTCACAAGTCAGAAATTTGGCAGCAGAACAAACTACCCTGTATTTCTGGCCCTGCAGGCCAGATGACAGTACCCCACACTCTGGATCCAACCACAGGCTGGCCTCACACTACTCATCTGGCCCACATATCTGGAGAAGTTTAACACTCCAGAAGTAAACAAAACACAAAAACCGAGACTGGCTTTGTGTTATGCAGTTCAGGAAATACTTTTATCTATTATACATAAATTGAGTAAACTGTACATGTAAACACAAACATGCTCTGTTTTACTCAAAGTAGTACATATGAGGTAGAGATAGAGCGACAGACACAAAGGAAAAACATAACTACTTCAACTGCTGTTACATGCAACTTGACAGTTAGCAAACGCTGGAAACAGGACAGGACTGCTTGCATGTCTGCAGGCCATGTTAAATGAGATGATATGTTCTCTTAAAAATAACATGGTAATTGCATTATGTGGGCTTAGCTTTTCAGATATATCTACAAAAGACAAGAACTTCAGACCCTTTCAACAGGAAGAAATCACTTTTTATTTTAAGGGGATCTGTGTCATCTGCTTAGGCTACTTTTTTTTTTTTTTTTTTTAAGGAATTCAGAGCAAATAACCAATGTCACAAATATAGGTTGTGAGAGAGCTCCATCCATGGACTGTCTGCTTAGATTCAGTTTCAGAACAAACTTAGTAGAAGGGGGAACTGCATAATAAGTAAAACCACTGTCTGATGCAAATATCTTTACACGTACACACAACATACTTGTGCACACACACAAATGTAAGAGGGGGAAGAGGAACAAAACAGAGGCAGTTTGGAGGATTTTGAAAGCCCTCAAAATCTAAATTTGATACGCAGCTACATTAGAAGACTAGCATTTATTAAAAGGACACTGTGGCGACAGAAGCTCCTTATGGAGGAAGAAGAGAAATAGAACATGGATCACGAAGAATGTAAATGATGCATCCCAAAGGAGTTCTTAAATCAGTTTAACTTCAAGCTTCAAAAATGAAAATTATTTTATTGAATACTGAAGAGTCAATGAACAGGGTTTTACAACTGCTCATTCTTAACTTAATCTAGCAGATTAGAAAATTATTATTAGATGGTTCTTTCTTACTACAACTTTAAAATAACCTTTCAGAACTCTTGCTAGTTTTAATATGTTTTGGGAGAAAAACAGGCTGGTTTCAAAGAAAGCTACTCTTGCATAGACCACTGCTTAGTGTTGCATTATTTAGCATCTAAATATGTAAAAAGATATAAATATTTATATGTAGTCTTCATAGATCTAAAGAGAGCATTCTGACGCCTAAGACTGGAAAAATTATGGAAGAAACTGGCAATAAGCATCAATGGATAAAGCTCTCTTACAATGAAACATTACTTTCTGTTCAAATACAGTACCTAAGGTGTGCTATGGAATCCCTGGTGCTCTGTCCAATAGTTTTCCAACCAAGACAGGGGTACAAGGATGTTTGCTCATCCCACTACGTTTTAATCTATTTCTGAATTATTTAAAACACGTGCTAACTGGGAATCAAGTCCAAGCACCCGTGATACTGAATGATTCTATTAATGTTTTGCTTTATGCATATGGCGCATTATTAATGGCACTATCCTAAACAGACTTCCAAAGGTTATTTAAATGCTTTTCAGCAATATTGCACATGAATGGCTTGAGAATCAACACTGCTGAAGCCAATGTACTGTCTTCATAGAATGAAAGGGAGAAATGAGTTTGGTCTTTACAGGAAAAGAGGAAGTGGTATCATTTTAATATCTTGGATTCTATTTTAATAAAAGTCTGAGCTAGAACAAGCACATAGAATATGCACGCGCTACAGCGACACAAGCCCTGGGTTGAATTTTATCCTTCCTACACTAACATAGGCAAAAGGGAAGTATTGGCAACACTAAAAGATTTAAATGGAGCAGAACTATGGGGTGTTTGACCTAATGGCTTATTCAAAAATAGAAAAAAAAAACCCTCTCCATTTACTTTTTAGACAACTTGCATCGTTACTTAATTCTGCAACAGGAAATAAGACTGATTAATGTAAGCATCTTGGCTCAATTCAGAATTTTAGATTACTGGATGAAAATGAGAAGTTTTACACCTATTAATATCAAAAGAAGTACATTTTGGAACCATCTCCTTTACGAAATAAACCCTTGTTTGGATGGTTAAATAACATCTATATTTTTCTCCAGACAAACAGCCAGGGAAATATACTAAGTGTCACTGACCCAGTATTTCCCCTACATTTAAAGCAAAACATAAATTTAAGAAGCAAAGATGCCAGCATGCAGCCAGATATGCAGGCACTAAGTTTTCCTTGACCTTTCCCCTTCTGAGATGAATAAAGCACTCTTTTAGCCTAGAAACCAACTTATCTGCAGTAGAGAACTGTAAGCAATGAGACACCATTACCAGACTGCATTTTACTCTAATGAGATATTCAAGTTGTCACGGGCAGGTGGTGTCAGATCCCATATTCAGACAGAATACATTCTTGTGGGAAAAATGAGATAGTGATTTAAGTCATCTATCTGTGGTCTTGTTTATTCTTTGAAGAATTAAAAGGAAAATGTCTCTCTCCATTAATGGAAAATTTTAAATACTGAGCTAATGAAGACAAAATGTGGCTTCTAACAACTTACAGCCTATCCTATACTCCGTAGGTTCATCTGCGTTACTTGCACAAAGAATAAGGGCCACAATCAAAGAGAATTCCCCTATTCTACCTTAGTGTCCACTGCTTCATTTCATCTCTTTTTGCATCACAATAGAAAGAACGTGTTTTTTTTCCCCCCAATCATGGCTAACTGTATGCCAAAGTAGGTCCTCTTGGGAATGTAAGTGTGTCCAGAAGTGTGTCCATCAGAAGCTTTTTGTAGCAGACTGCCTCCTGCAATGCCACACTTCCTGGACACTATAGGCACTTTTACATGTACTCCACGGGTGGGGGGAGCGATGCTTTAAATTAAAGCAGCTCCGAAAGCCACTCTAATTAAAGCATGGCTGCGTCGCCTGTATCAGCGTCCCCCCTTGCTTAAAAATGGTGGTGGAGGTGCTTGAACTAAAGCTCAGCTTTAGTTCAAGCACCTCTGCTGCCATTTTTAAGTACAGGGATGCTGATACAGGAGACACAAGACACTGTTGAAGCATGGTAATTGCCATGTTCCAGCAGACTCAACTGAGTCTGCTCCAACACAGTGGAATTCCCAAGTATCAGAGCAGCCTCCACAACCATGTATAGGCGTCCCACATTTCCAGAAAGACTTGCTCTGTTGCATAAGGTTAGCCCTCAGACCCTTGCAAAAGGCAGTAACAAGGTTGTCAGTCCTTTACTAGTAGCTTTTTATATAAGTTCCTGTAAATAGTGTTTCCACTTCACAAACGTTATCAATGTACCTCCAAGCAGCACGCTTGCTGCTTCAGGCATAAGCTACAGTGCTCAGCCAATGCCTACAGCTTTGAGACGGTTAACATGATTCTGCCCCACCAGTTTGCTGAGCAGACACAAGTGGAAACCATCTTGGCAGCTGCATGGCATGCACAGCGTCTCCAGGACTGCTCCTTTTCCAGTGAATAAACAGCTTTCCCCACTTGAAACATGTATTCCAATTTGGAGGGGCTGATTTTGGGAGAATGGTGCATATGTATGAGAGAAAATAAGGTACCAAGTTCTGATTAAATTTTGTTTAAACTGATAAAATGCGTGATCTTACTGTATGTTTTTAGCATACATTTAAAATTATATATATTTTACTATTATACTTTTACTGTCAATTTATTGTATTGTTTTAGCATAACTTGTAAATAAGCTACTACTACCACCACCACCACCGAGAGAGACCTTTAATACACCTACAGAAAAAAAATGTAATAGAAGCCAAATGTTGAGATAGCGTATCTCTTTATGTATGGATGGCTGGTTCACTTCAGTTTCCAGGTGTTTTAAGTAATAGGGAGGGAAGGGAGAAAACAGTGAACTTGAATACAGGAAGAAAAAAATATGTTAGTGATAGTTTTGTTTACTGATTGCAGTGGTCTAACAGATTCCAATTTAAATGGCAGAACCAGCAAATTGTCTACAATCTTCTGTTCACATAATTGATTGAAAGAAGGGAACCTATCCCACTCTGAGATTGGAGGGCCTCCCAGCCATCATTTTAGGTATCATCAGTGCTCTTCCCAGCAGGAAAACACTGGAGGTGGTCCATCATATTTCTTTTGCCTGTAACCACTGTGCCTGAGGAAAGACTAGTACACACACACACACACACACACACACACACACACACACAGAGTATATATACACCGATATGTACGGATATACACATACATGCATGTGTGTGCGCCCTTAACTCCCTACACACAGCCCTGATATATCTACGTATCAGTTGAACACAATGTTTTATTCATATATTTACAGTTTTAAAAGACATTTAGAAGCCTAATAGTGCCTCAAACATTATCATAACATTAATTCTAAATACCTATATATTTTGGCATTTGATTTGGGTTTTTTTTGTTATAGAAAAATCAGAGCTCCCTCTGCCCCCTTTGTTCACAAAGATGTGGGCCCAGCAGCAGATGTACCCCCCGACTGCTTTGTGGTACTAAGCAGCCCTGATATGCCAGTACCCTTCACTCCCAGCCCACAGCATCCTCATCCCCACCAGTGCCCCTCACACCCTACATGCAGCTCTCTGGTCCTGCCAGTGCCCCTCAATCCCAACCCACAACCCCCTGGCCCCGCCAGTGCCCCTCATTCCTGATGTTAAGCCCCCCCATCCCCAATGGCGCTCCTCACTTCCAACTCGCAGTCCCCAGTCCCCATTGGTGCCTCTCACTCCCAACCCACTACCTGCAGCCCCCCAGTGTGTGGGGAACAGGAGGGTATGTGTGGGGAAGCGGGGTGCCCAACCATAGGCAATGCCATTGGTGTAGTGTCAGGGAAGCAAGGGGGGGCATGTATCCCCCCAGATTTCTGCACCTACAGTGGGGCACTAGGGCTGCAACCTGACTGTATCAGCACCAGGCAGGAACTGTCTCTGCAGCCCAGCTGTCTTCATGGCCTAGCAGGCAAGACTCATTTCTGCTGCCACCATAACCCCTGTGCCAGCCACGTCACCATGGAGTAATGCCAAACCTCCAGCACCATGAACAGTAACAGACTGGGGGGAGAGAAGTGGAAGGAGCATGCTGCCCTTGCCTCCTCCCCACTGCTGGCCGCTTGCACGCTGGGCTGTGACTCTACCCCAGAGACGAGGTGGATTGGGGGCAGCACGGGCGGCCTGAGGGAAGTACCAGTGGCAGCTGGGCTATGGCAGTCTTGCCACCCTGCTCTACCCTCCCACACTGGGTCCTGCCTGCTGAGCCGCAGAGGCAGTTCCTGCTGGCTGCCAGTCCACCCAGACTGCAGCCCTGTGCCCTGATGTGGGCATGCATATTCCCCCACAAAGCCCCCAGTACATTGCCTATGGTGCCCCGGGAGTGCACACAACGGCGGGGAGCCAACCCTCCCACCAGCTTCTCCTCCTGCTGGCTGCCCATAGCTCTGTCCCACTTCTCAGGTGGGCCTTGTGGCCACATATTCCCACCCTGGTCCTGTGCCTTGTGTACTGCCCCCAAGCCCAGCCCCAACCCTGCCCTACTCCCTCCCCCTCATTGTGGGGGCTTGGCACAAACAGACCCCACCTTAATCTGCCCCCCGCCCCCCGGACTTACCTACAGGCAGCTGGGGGAGCTGCTGTGCACCACTCTGCCTGGCTGTTTTGCTGGCTGCATGCGTCTGTGCACACGCACACATGCACATGGCGCCCCCTGCATCTGATCAACTTCCTCCCACTTCCCCCAACCCCAAGTAGCCCTTTTGCAGGCTGGAACTCTGCTAACAGAAAACCTGGATCCCTGGTGATAACAAGTTTCCACTGCTAAATCAAGAAACCAAGTTATAAAGACATACTACATAGAGAAATTTCTCGGTCAAAACCAAGGATGACTGGTTCAAGGAAGGGAACTTAATCTCAGTTTCATAATCTGAAATTTGAAAAGGAATACCTTCCTAGAGTATCTAACCTGCAAATATCTTTTGCAATGGGGCAAGAAAGTTGAAATTCAGCCCCATACAAAAGAGCCACAGGCTCCATGGACCCTCTATACAGAGGTGAATTTACCATATCAGTTATGTATTAAAGGAAAAGGAACATGTTTTTAAAACATTATTCTGATCTGTTCTTTTAAAAATGAAAATGCAGTGTCTACGAAGAACACACGATAGATATTACACAGCAGACAGAAAAAAGGGAAGCAAAACTAGTTTTTATATAGTTAAAAAACATGTTGATTGATTTTTTTCTTCTTTAAAGCATTACGCATTGTAGCCAGGAATGTATGTTTTGAATCACAACTGCACATACACTTTGTTAAACTACAGAGCAAGGCTATCCAACTTCTCAGAGGCCAGGGGCTGCATCTGAGAGGGCAACAAACCTCCTGAACTGCAAAACTTGCCCCCTCCCCCGCCATGTGTTCCTCTTACTATCACGTTGTCTTCTCCATACTCCCCCATCACTATGTGAGCTTCCCCATACCCTTCCCTTGCTGCGTGGGCTTTCACACACCCGTTTCTTACCCACCCCCCACAGCATGGGCTTCCACATGACCCCCCAACAAGGGCTTTTCTGCATCATCCCCTGCTGCTGCATGGGCTTCCCCATGCCCTTCCCTGCTCCTGCATCAGCTTTCTCCTTGTCCCTTAGCCCTATGGGCTTTTCTGTACTGCCATATGGTCTTCCCCATGCTCTCTGGCCACATGGCCGACCCCCCTCCGCCAGCCCATGGTGTTTCCTGCACTCCGTTGCTATGAGAGACACCTGGAGTTCCTGCCACCACACAGGCTCCCCTGCTTCATGGGGCTACCAGGATCTCAAAGCCCTGGGATCCTCAGATGTGTCATCCCATGCCAAGACAAAGCAATACGGGAAGGAGTGCCTGGGAGGTAATCCAGGAGTCATACTTTAACCCCTCACAAGCCACCAGTTGGACAGCCCGGCAGTAGAGCATACACAATTTTTAAAATAGAAAGACATTTACATTTACCTTCTAGCTGTTTTTCTAGCAATAGTTGCTGCTCTCTTTCTTTTCGCCAAAACGCTTCCTGTTTTTGCCTGATTCTGTGTCGTAGTTCCTCATCATCAGTGTCAGATGATTCAGAGCCTCTGTCGCTCCTCTCATCCTCACTGTCTCCTGATCCATAACCACCCAGTCCACCTGCGTGCATAAAGCCCAGTCTATCACGAGGAAAGGTTAAGCCTTGTTCTTAATATTTCTGTGGGGCAAAGAGGAAAGTACATTGCCCTTCCTTCATTTCCTCTTCTCTGAAAAGACATTTATTCTAGGGAAAATACAAATGTTGTTTGACTGGAGTCCTCAAGGTCCCCATATTTGTATTGATGCTCAGTTTCTACTTTTACTCCTTCTGGAACAGCTTATCTAAAAGTGATCATGACACTTTTCCCATTGTATGGAAGAACAAACAAGCTCCTTATGGAAACAGTAACAAGGTCATCCCTTATTCATTTCCAAGCACATTGACAGAAGAGGAAAATGGCCAGAACCCTGCTCCTGAAGACATCCATGAAATTATTTCAACTACTTCAATCTTAGACATACTAAATCTCATTATCAATGTTTCTACAGTGAAAATACTGGATTTTAAAAGAGAAGGAACAGAAATGAATTTCTTTCTCCGCAAAGAGAAAGCTACCATTAACTAACAGACTGTCAGAAAGTAATAAGCATCTGATATAAAGGCCTTTTTATATTTTTCCCACTTGAAGTTCTCCAGATCTTTAGTTTTTATATTAATTTTACTATCTAAACATTTGGGACACAGAAAATTTAAACTAGTGAGAGAGTTCATTACATCACAATGTCATGTAACTACTATAAGTGACCGCTGACATTTTGTTTTACTACATCATGGTAAGATGACAGGGTTGAGAAAGATCTTTTGCTATTACACCTCAGATTAGCATTTCAAATCCTTATCCTGCATGCCTTCAAATGGATAATTTTGAATATGGAAGCCTTTGCAAGTGTCTAGTTTTTCAGTAGGAGTGTAATTAATTCTAAACATTACAATTATTTTAGTAGCACTCTAAACCATTATATTTATAACAAGATCAACTGTAACACACTGTCCAGTTGGATCAGAACAGGAGAAATACATAAAAATAGTAATTTCCTTCTAAGAGACTGCAGTTTGATCCTCAAACAATTAATGAAAACATGCCAGTAGCATAAGTTAGCAAGGAAAGCATCCAACCAAAACAGCAAGTTTCTCTTCCAAGTTTTTACCTAGTTTACAAAATTAGGACAAGACACTGACACTGTACACATTAAAATAATTTCTTTCTCCACAAAAAATCCCACTGACATCAATGGTATTACTTGAAAAGGGTAATGAATCAGAATCTGACTAATAAGTAATTATTGGTAATTACAGTCTAGTTTTCAAAAAAAGTTCTCTAGATATTCAAGGCAAGAGCGATCTCCCCTTTAAGCCCCTCTCAAAAATAAGGAACATACTTACCGAGTCCAGTGAGGGAAGCCAGTGCACTGGACTGTGCCAGCTGTTTTGCAGGAGCTTTGTATCACATCAACAACAGGAACAACATGTTAACACAAATAGCCACGATTTCATAGTCATGAGATTCTATGGTATTGTTAAATCTACTACTATTGCTGTTTTGTGGGGGAAAGAAGAAACATTAAAAACGCATCATCCATTTAAAACGAATCCTTGATTTTCTGACCACGTAAGTTTAGAATTCTTAATGTGGGTTAACAGTGAACTGGAAAAACACAAATCTATATTCATAAGTCAGTTTCAAAGTTACAGAATCTGCATATAAAACTCAGATGTCAGTATTTACATGTTTAATTTTATTATGTCACCTGCAGTTGCATATATAGTAGCATATTAACAGTGAAAGCAAATGAATTACTAACTGAGGATTCATAGTTCGTCTCTTTTCACCTCTGATCAATTAAGAGTCTGAGATAAAATGAAAGAAGAAATTGCTAGAACTTAGGAGTTGTTAACACAAGGGTACCATCATAACTAAAAAAAAAGGAGTTATGTGAAAGAAATGGAATAACTGAAGAAACTCACAATACACTTCACAGGACAACAGTATGTGATTACTGGATTTCATTTCTAATTAAAATCTGATGGATAATATTTGGACTATTCTTGGGGGACAATAGCTATGGAGTTAAATGTTCTAAAGACATGCATATATAAAATATCCACAAAAGGAAGTAAAAATAAAGTATACCTTTAGTTGCTTTACGGTGTACGTCTTTGGCAACGTAATAAATTTCTTCGTTTGTGACATCTAAAAGGATTTCTGTCAGTAGCATTTTTGTCAAAAACATCTAAAGAAAATAATTATAAATAAGATCAGAGGAAAAGGCTCCAGACTAAGTTCTAAAATCAGTTAACACTGAGGAAACTCAACTGCTTAGTTGAGTTTCCTCAGCTTAGAATACAAGCTGTTCCAATTATTTAAAATTTGACTTGATTTCCAAACTAAATTGTTGTAAGTTTCACCAATGTACTGTATTTCAAGAAAACACCAAATAAAGTGAGCTTCCCTGCTTATGATGTGCACCTTAATTTTAGAGGGCTGATTTTTGGGAAAAAGCATGGTATGTAAGCAAGTATGTTAAGTTCATCATATAGCTATCTTCTTCCCATATATGGCAAGTGTGTATTAACATTTATCATCTCCACATAGTGGAGGATATTTATATGGTATATTAGAGATGCATGCATATATAAAATCATCACAGTATGTGTGTTATGCCTATGATTATAATGTCAGTCACAGAAAAGTACAAGAGCTTCTCTATGCCTGAAAATATAAACATATTGTATAGGTGTAGACGATTTTCAGAGAACTATGTCATGTGTACCATCTGATACTCCTTTTCTTCTTCTGTCATTTCTGGTTCGCTTTGCTCCTCTGGAGGAGCTGGAGATGGACTCCTGCTGACTTTTCCAACACTTACAGCCTCTGAATTTTCAACATCATCATCTTCTTCATCACTGTCCTACAAGAACATTGTATATTTTAAGGTTCATTTAGATTTAAAACATCAGTTTCTCTGTAATCAAGTTGAAATATCACAACAAAACAAGAAGTCCTCAAACATGCTCTCCCCCCCAAACAAATAGTTTCTACCCCCTCTACAAGTTCTGTGAATCATATCCTCAACTACCACATATCGCTAACTCCAAGTACAGATTTGATGAATCTTGAATGAACTGTCAAGACCAGTATACACAGCTGACAATTCATTGTTGTTCTTATAGCTGGTAACAAGGAAGTAGAGTGGGAAAGACCATGAGGCAGCCCGTCGGCAGCCTTGGCAGGAAGTTCCACTGAACCGAACTCTTATCAAAAAACTATGGTATCTGGTGACCAAAACAATTACCAAAGGATCAGAGTTCATGGTTAGGGATCTACCAAAATTGCAATTTTTGCAGAAACCATGATTTTAGCCAGGCCCCATGAAAAAGCATGGACTCCACAAAGAAATGTAGGGTCTGTGCTTTTGACAGGCTCCCAAAAACCAAAAAACCCCCCAAAACTCACCAAAAGTAAAATGCTTGCTTCCTTTGGGGAACCAGCAGTCCTTGTGGCTGCTATGGCCTGGCTTTGCAGCCCATGGGGGAGGGCTGCTGGCACAGCAAGATGGCTACCACCTCTGCCCCTCATTGGCTGTGAGGACTGTCTGTCATATGCCCCCACTCCTTGCCACCAGAGGGGAAGAGCAGTGCTGCATGACAGTCTTCACAACCAATCAGTGATATGGGCTGGGGCTGTATGACATGTAGCCCTAGCAGCCAATCAGCAGCGAGGGTGGAGCCACCAGAACCCCTTGGCCAATCGGAGGTGTAGGAGGCGGCCCTGCCATGCTCCGCCTATGAAAATGGTTGCCAGCCCCACAATCTGCATGCGAAATTGGCCAGCTACCACTTCAACTTTGGTAGACCCCTATTCATGGTTCTTGACAGCTTCCCTGTTCCTAATCCCACCCATCCAGGTAAACCATTGCTTTTGCAAATGTACTGTAGGAAAAGCACACAGCACTGAAAATAAAGCACTAGGAGAAACACAACTGCTGCAATACAAAGTTCCCTCAACTGCTTCAGTGCTGCAAGTGTGGATACATAGAATCTATGACACTCACTACTTAATCTAATTCTTTATTACAGACACCTGTCAAAGTCTATACCAATTGCCAAATTATGCAGACATGGAAAGAATGGGCAGATTTATCATCACTACTTTACACATAACCAAATAAAGGTAAAACATCTTTTTAGACTATACTTACACTTTTGCCTATTATCTGCTACAAATTTATAAAAATCAGGTAAATGATAGTGCAGTAGTGACACATGGTTAATTTTTAACGTAAGAAACAAAATGATGTGAATAAACTGAAATGCACAGTTTCTTCATAAAGAGATAAATGAACATTAATAGCTTTTAAGAAATACAAACCTGGGAAAAAAAAGTCAACCCTCCTACTTACAAATTTACTTTTTTGAGGTAACCGCGGACCATCTCCCTCTTCAGTTTCCTCAGTGCCTTTCTTTTCTTTTTTAGACATCTGAGAGCGTTGTTGCTCCATTCGCTCTTTCTCCAGCTTTTTCTGTTTTTCTCGTTCCATCTTTTCCAGACCCTCACGAATCCAAGCAGGAAGCGTTCTGCGTTTCACAGCATCTGCACAGGAGAGATTTGTAATTTTATCAGAAGGGGAGAGAAAAAGAAAAGAAAAAAAAAAGACCAGACATGCTATGTGCTATTATTGGTAAAAAGTATCTTGTAATAATAGCTTTATTTATTTATTCATTTACAGGCAAAAAGTAATTACAGATTTCAAATTTTACATTTCTTTTTAAAGCAAAAGACTTCTAAAGCGAATTATGCTTTCAGATTTTTTTCATTAAAGAGTGGTTAACATGTACCAATCTGTGGAGGCTCCTGCTTCACAGGCATCGTGATAGGTGAACGCTGACGATCTCTGAATGAGGGTCTTTCCCTTCGGTTCTGAGGAGGTGCTGGAGGTGCTGGTGGACCTGGTGGCCCTGGTGGTCCTGGCTGCCAATAAGGTGGATGAAATCCACCCTGGGGTGGACCAAAAGCAGCCCCATGCTGAAAGAGTAATGCAGTTTATTTTTCTTCACATTTAATACTATGTATAGCATGTGTACGTGTGTAAGTGGGACTACAGAAATCCATGCAAGTAGAAGATCCGTGATTCCTAGGTTAAGGGCTTTCTACCATTTTACACTGGTTCCAAAAATCTAAATTTTCATTTTTATATTTATGATGAGCTTTACAGTTGGAGTCATGTCTTTTAACAAACTTCCAGCTTTGAAAATAAATTTTTAGAATGTAAATGCTGATGCCACTATGAACCTGAAAGGGAGCTCAGAAACCCCTGAAGCCTGAACATCAGGAGCTAGCTACCTCATATCAATAACAAATTCCCTATGATCAAGCATGTATGAAGTGTGGACTTAAGAGTAAAGGTAGTGCACATAATTTTGAAATGTGGCCCTACCAACACCCAATTCTATAACTACATCTTGAAAACAAAAGTTCAAAAGTTCCAGGTTTTATTGCAGGTTAATTCCAAGACCATGCAATTTCCAGTCACCTATCAAGGATGCTACCAGTAAAAACTTGTTTTTGATTAAAAGTACATTAAATTGTATTTAGAACAGCCTTTGGGCTCCAAGCAAGTTGCCATGCAAACCAGAGTTGCAAAGCTAATGCGCAAGAGTTCATACTACATTTTGGTGCCTGAAAATAGCCACCGAACACATCTGTTTGAAAAGACTGTGTTTAGGAATAAAACTGCAAACAAGTGTTGATTTGATCATTTATATTAACAGATGCTTGGTTATTTTACTATCATTTAAGCTGAGTTGTGTTTACTGAGTAACTTGCTATGAAGAGAATTTTCTGTGCTGCTTTCAAAGTTTTGGAAAGTTTTCTTTAAGATTTGGTTCCAGAAAGAAGCAAAGACAGGACAGCTTTCTGATCCTAAAGCTTTTAAAAATGGATGGTTCACCTTATGTCTGACAATGCCACACACTAAAATTCTGTCATGAAAAGCAGGATAGAAAACAGAAATAAATCCTTGCACTTGTAAAGTCTTCTCCATAGAATTATACTATCTCTGAATACAGGGAGATGTTCCGAAAGATATAGACTGTTAATAAATATATATTTTTAAAGGTTTGAGCATTCAATACCTGTGAAAAATCAGAAAAAAAATATCAGTTTTCTCTATCTAGAGATTTTTATTTTTCCCACATATAACACCCTCATCTATTCCTTATATATGCTATACATAACTTGTTTGCCAGAGTGAAGAAAAAATTGGATGTGGATTTTTAAAAAGCATTGTTTATTCAGAGAATCACAGAAGATAGATATGGAAAGGATCAATTGGATCATCCAGTCTATCTCCCTGCAAATGCAGGACTGTTCCCTACAGTACATTTTGTAGTGTATTTAAATATATTTTCTAAACTTTATTTAATGCTTTTAGATTTTACACAACTTAGTTATATTAATTATATTTTGAAAAACAGTGAATCATTTGAATATTGCACATAACAGCCATTTCTCATTATTAGTATGGGAAAAAATATTGTTTGGCCTCAGAGCTGAACTGAAAACGCTAAAGTCTTCTTCTGTATGCATAAGGTATTTTACATTTCGTAAAATGTATCTTAGCAGACAACAGACTTTGTAGTTGTTTGTAGAACTGAAGAATGCAAGTCGCCGCTAGATATTCTTAGAGGAACACTTCCACGGAAGGGACTCTGCACGTCTACAACATTAAAGCAACAAATATGTTTCACCTGATAGTCAAACTGGTTCACTGGCCCCATTGCAAAGTTATCGGGAGGTCCCCCAAAGTTGTGATTGTTCTGGTTAAATATATGCCTGTTGTCAGGGGCAAATTCCCCACTGTCCTGACTGTTGCTGTCTTCAGATGGAGGAACGATTTCCATTGGACCTTGGGCTGGAGGTATCCATTGCTGATCTGGAGGTGGATGAGGGGGTTGGTGAGGCATTCCCCATTCTGTTTAGGATTTAGAATACAATTTAATACATGGTTAACAATGAGACAGAGAAATCACAGATTTTCTTATTCTAGTAATATCAAGATTGCCAAAAAGCCAGAACTTTTAGAAAGCAATATTGTCAATACAAAGTCATATATTTTTAAAGCAAGAATCATTGTCACCTACAGTCAGTTATGATGGAGGTTGAACTAGAGCTTCCCTGAATTAATCCCTGCTTAAAGTCCAACAGCTGTGGTTCATCTATAGCTTATCATTCAGAAAAAATAGACAACCCTGATTTTAAGATTTCTAGGGGCAGTGAAATTATAACAATCCTCTGGTAAGTTAAGTTATTTCAACAGTTAATAACCCTCACCATTAAAAATGTGCACCTTATTTATAGTTTTCTTCATGCTCAACTTCCAGCCATTGGATGTTGTTATATTATACCTTAAATCTTCTGGACCAAAGAGCCATCATTTTATTATTAAAAAAAATCTGTTTCCCATGCAGGTACAGAGAGATCATGATCAGCTCAATCCTTAACTTTCTGTAACAAACAGATCAAATACCTTGATTCTTTATTTCTACATTTGGCCAAGAACTTCTCTCTGCAAGATCCAACAGCTACTTGATAATGATTTAACATTTCTATGTCCACTTCCCTCATCTTACAATTCAGAAAGTTATTAAAATAAACACATATTTGGAATGTTCTGTAATTGTGTTATTATGTATACAGCTGTGCTGTACCTCTTAGAGGTGGCTGCAGAAAACTCACAGACCAGAGGGAGGAGTAACTACAATTAGGATGAAATCTGACATTCTAGACGCCTTCATTATGCACATCTAAAAACTGTAAGTGATATTCTGAAAAGGTCTAAATTAGAAATTTGGCTCCATTAACTTTGACTCATTTGGATAGTGTTACTTGAACATTTGGGAAACCACCGCTCTTTTAAATTATCCAATACACGTACAAAAAGTACCGTTTTCCCCTTGTTTTCATCAAATCAAATGCAATTTCCACTAGACCAATGAAAAGCATGCATATGGATTTAGAACCTGTTTCCCTGCCAAATTTCAAACTGCCATTACATTCTGATGATATGCTAGATCTGTTTAGAACTATGAAAAACACTTTTAGCAGAAAAAACATTAACAGTTTTCAGTCTTTCCATGCTTGAAATCAGCTGTTGAGGGGGGGGGGGGGGGGAGAGGAAGGGGTAAAAGCCCCTATACTGCTTCAATCAAGCTAAGAAAAAAAGAGAGAGAAAATTATAAATAACTGAAAATGATCCATTTTACTGAAAACGTTTGGTCAGTTTTAAGAAAAGATTATTTAGGTGGAATGCACATAGTGGGATAGGAAAGGCATCAGAAAAGCCTCAAAATGGGACTGATATGATAAAAGTACATTTTACAGAGATTTTTCCCCTTCCTGCTCTCGAAGGTTTTAAAATCCTTTGAGCCAGTATTTCATAAACTACATGTTGGGCACATCATGTTCTGCAGTCTGTCAAACCCATGAGAAAAAGTTATAGGGGTGCAACAGGAAGACAACAGATGCCTACTTCCTCTAGGGCAGGGGTGCTCAACCCCTGGCCCATGGGCCAGATCCAGCCCGTGGCCTCATGTCATCTGGTCCACGGGATTCCCCGTAGGTCCAGAAATTTGGCAATGGGGAAGCGGTGGCACTGGACTCATAGGGAGCCCCAGGCCCTGCAAACTGGATCAGGCACCCAATCCCAGCACACAGGACCAAGTAGGAATGGCACCAGGCCCCAGGGCCCAATCCTCATGGCTAAGAGGAGGCAGTGCCAGATCCCTGGGGACCAATTCAGCACTGGGGGGCAGAAGGGGGAAGCACCGGGTCCCCTGGGGACCAACTGCAGTGTGCAGGGGTAGAAGGCAGCAGTGCCAAGCCCTTAGGAACCAATTGCAACATGCAAGGGCAGAAGGAGGCAGTGCCAGGCCCCTGGGGACTAAGTGTAGCACAGAGTGGCAGGAGGAGGCAGTTCCAGGCCCCTGGGGAACAACTGTAGCATGTGAGGGCAGCACTGGCTCTTGGGAACCAATCCCAATGTACAGTGGCAGGAAGGGGTGGTGATGGGCCCCTGGGGACCAATCCCAGTTTGCAGAAGGGGACAGTAGCAGACCCTATGGCAGGGGTAGGCAAAACACAGACCGCCAGGCCATTCTCTCTGGTCCGTAGGGCCCCTAAAAAATTTAGAAAATTAATATTAACCTGCCCTGGGCTGCCTGTCATGCAGCCCTCGATGGCTTGCTGAAACTCAGTAAGCGGCTCTCTTCCCAAAATAATTGCCCACCCCTGCCCTAGGGCCACTGCCAACACTCAGGCCAGGGAGGGGCTAGCGCCAGGCCCCAAGCTCTTACTGACCAGAGAATAAGAAGTGAAACAAGTAGCCAGATACAAATAGTTAACTGCAGCATGTGCTTATTCTTCTCTACCAAAACTAAAATCAAAACAAGACTACTGCTTACACACTAGGCTCAAGCCTAAAAAAACCTACAGATTACGGAATTGTGGCATAAAATGCTTGGGTCTACCTTTTTCCACTCCCAGAAGTAGTTATTTGAGAATATAAAGCACATCAGGTATATACAGATGATAAGGTTTAGGAGGAAACAGAATCAGGTAACATTCATACAGGTTACCAAATAAAGTATAAACACATTTTCATTGGAGGAAGGAAGAAAACAAACCTGGCTGCCACATTCTGTTGAAGTTGGGATCCCCCTGAAAATTGTTATGGTTGTTTGCACCAGATTCTACTCCTGAAATCTCCTGTCCATTTGGCATCATTCCTTGTTGTTCCACCACGCCCTGCTGCCCTGAGGCCTCTCGCTGAGCAATCCATGCTTGAGCTAGTGCAGCCCAATCAATCTGACCTAAAACAAATATAGAACAATTTATTTCAATATTTAAAATTTCCAAAATATAATTATGAGTTATACATATAGTCACTCAACAAAAATACTGTAACAATATTCACCTGCAACAATTACCTTGCTGATAATTGATACTATGCACAGAATGTGATTACACTACAGTTTTATTGCTCATTACACATTTCAATGTGTGTTTATACTTGCTGAAGTGGAATTTCTCTACATATTGTCACAACCCAAAGTTGTGATTTTTGTTTTGTGTGCGCTTTGGCACTGCTAAATTATTTTTCCCGCTAAATTGCAGCTTCTTTGCACGGTGGAGTTTTCTGCTGCAGAGGAAAACCCCGGTGCAAGGGAGAATTTCCCACCAATTTGTAGTTTTCTTTGCATGGTGCATTTCTTTTGCATCTAAGAAATGCTTGGTGCAAAGAGTTCCCGCCATTTGTATTCTAATTCGAGCCCCATTATTGGCTTGCGTGAAAATATGCACACGTGGCGGCTAGTGATTGGCTTGCTAGCCGTATAAAAAGCTTGAGTGGTTTCCGCCCAAGTCGGAGAACTTTGAGCACGCTGCAGAGTGCCTCTAAGGAGATTTGACCTGCGGCTGCTGATCAATAGACTGATCACCTATTGATTCTTCTCCCCGTCGCCGCCTAATCCCTCGACGTACCCTTCCCTGCGCGCAGAAGGACCCACGGAGCCTAGCAAACTTCGTGTGAGTCTATTCAGAGCTCTTTGGTTCGAGTACTTTCTTCGGTTGGCGCGACGGGCTCGCGGTTTAGAGCCTCCAACCGGATGGGCTAGAAGAGTGTTCACGGGAAGGAACTCTAGTCCACCTCTCATCTTTTCTATCTGTAACCGCAACTCAAGCAAGTTTTCCAGCCTACACTGCGACCATCTTCAGTGTAAGTAAACAATCTTTAAATCAACCATTACGCGTCCGTGCCTAATTCTAGCGTGTCGCCCGTTCTCTCCGACCCCGCGTGCCCGGGCTGATGGCCACCGCCCGCGCAGAGCACAAAAAGGGCCCGGATCGCTCCCGGCCTGCACACACATATTCTATAAAACTATACAGAATGTTTCAGTGTGCTTTATCACCTGAACAGAAGGTAGTTTTAAGTGTTCCTGGTGGGAAAGGATACAAAATTCAAATTTTAAAAGGTGCAGACCTTGTAAAGACTTAAGAATGGGAAAGATGTACATAGTTATGATAACACATAGATATACCACAGGTTTTGTAATATGCACACTCCTCTACCATCACTCTTACAGCTGTTATTTTCTTTGCTTACTCTTCCTTAGTGTGGTCTTAAATTTGTCCTCTGTTCTGTTTTGAGATATGACTTGCTATTGTTTATGAGCCACAGTCTCTCCCACCATCATTCCTTGAATCAAAGCAAGGAAAAATACAGGAACCAAGGCAAACTGAAATGTGCCAAGACGTAGCAAACAATGGATATGATGTACTTCACAGTCCTCAGAGTGAAGAGCCACAAACACAGACAGACATATATATCTATACATAATAAAGATATCATAGGTGGAGGCAACAGCCCTTGATACAAGATTGACAAGTATACATCACAGGATCGTAAGACAGTAAGGCTGGAAGAAACTACATGAGAACATCTAGCTTAGCAGCCTGCTCTAGGCAGGATCAGCCCTGATAACACCATTAGCCAAGTGTCTGTCTAACCTGTTCTTGAAAATCTCTAGAATCCTCCATTCTAGGGATGGAGATTCCACAATTTCTCTAGGCAATCTGTTCTAACTCTTGAGCCCTGGCATAGCCAGGAAGTTCCTCTTAGTCTTCAACTCTAAATTATCTTTGCAAACACAGGAAAAGTCTATCTTCATCCTCTTTATAACTTCAAGTATTTGAAGACTTATCTAATCCGCCTTCCATCTTCTCTTCTCCAAACTTCTTTCAGTTCTTCTTCATAATCCATTATATTATACACAGACATATACATACACATACATGCATACATATATATACACATACATATACATACACACACACACACACACACACACACACATATGCACATACTCCTTATTCAGCTGTTTGTACAGATGTGTAAAAACATAAATATCATTCACTTTGCTATATTTCTCAGCATACATTGTTGTATTATTAATTTTTGTGACTTTTTCCATATGTTATACTTTGTGTTATTCCTTCTATTATTGAATTTATCTTTGGAAGAACAGGGACAAAACAACTAGCTTGTGGTTATAACAAGTAACAATAGGCAGCAGACATTATAATGAGTAAATAATACCTAGGCTGAAGTGCAGTTTGAGAATTTAAGTAAGAGACGAAGACAACATGGAACTAAAACACGTGCCAGTTCAGTACCAATAATGACAAATCAGTTTACTTGTATTCTGATTATTCTGAAAAACATCAGAATGCAACACCTCAATAATAATCAATACAGTCATGCAGACGTTGAAACTGAGCTTACCAAAAAAAATTAAGTTTTATTTTGATAGTGGAACCTCGGGCATGTACTTACTTGGATCTTGTTGGTGCTGGAATGACTGCATCCATTGCTGCTGGTTCAAAGGCCACTGCTGCCAAGGCTGCCCACCTTGATCCCACATCTTTAGTCCTTTATATATTCTAAATTCAAACAAAAACAGTATTGTTTTCAATATGAATTGATACTTAGGAAATGTTACATACTCAAATGCATTATTTCCCAATTGCTCAAAAACACAAAAAAAATCTTGCAAAACTAAGTTAATAGCAATATTGGTATAATATGCTTACTGGAGGAAAATTTTAATTGTCCCAAATACCAACTAAAAAAATTAATTAAAACTAGTTTAAACTGTTTAGTTCAACAAACTTTGAAAGAGTAATCATTTCCCGAAATTTACATAAAGGTAGTAGTAAATTACAAAAATCCATCTAAGCTGCAGCAAAAAAAATTGTTTTGAGAGTGTTATATTCTCAAAACAGTGTAAAGAAGTGTAAAGAAAGTAAATTCTTCAATTTTACAAATTCACACTTCACAGGAATGTTATAAATAAAAATAGGACAATGTAATCCAACTGATGTACTTGGGTGTTTTTGTGAGGAATGGTTCCTTTTCTACCCCCCTAAAAAAACTAGATGCAAAACTTGACAAAGGAAGGACCTGATCCTGAAAAATGATCAATGTGTGCTTGTGTGGGACCCCTAGCGAAGTTCAAGACATGTATATGATATAAAATATGTAAGAACCAAACTTCTTGGATGATGAGAGACAATGTTGAGGATATTTACCAAGACAAATTCAGTTTCAAGATCACTAGAGATTATAAGCCTGAATTTATTTAATTTCTTTCATGTCTTCTTGGTTGCAGAATATAAAAGCGGTTTCCTAATTATATCAAAGCAATGGAATTGCTTTAGGACACACTGGGCGTTTACACACAGCCTTTTAGAGTAGACCCTTTAATTAGAGCAGCTCTCCAAGCTCTTCTAATTAAAGCCCCCAGAGTGTCTCATGTATCAGAATCCCCATGCTTAAAAACAGCAGCAGGGGCGCTTTAACTAAAGTTTGTTTGATAAACATTAAAGTGCTTCCACCACCATTTTTAAGCGTGGAGCACCGATACATGAGACTATGGAGTCTGCTGGAACGCGGTAATTACCAGACTCCAGCAGACTCGATTAGTCAAGCCTACTCCAACACACTGTAACTACAGTGCATCAGAACAGCCTTGCTGCTCATGTACAGGCTCCCACTGACTTCAAGTAAAACGAAGACAGAAAACAAGTCAGTAGCATTCTGGTCTGTACCAAATAAACCTAGTCTTTTTTGTAAAAGTAGTGTAGAAAAATTACATGCCAAGGGCACATGTCTGCCCTTTGAAAACACATGGCAAAGTTTACCTTACAGGAGTGTTGCTATTAGACTTCAGGCTTCAATTAAAGTCATCTTATGCCAATTTTGGTTTCACTTGGAAGTAAGGACAATGTAAACCATTATGTTTGTTTTTTCAGTAATCTAACTCTTTCCAAGATTAACAAATCTGGATGTATGTACCACACTAAAATTCCATCAATTGCGGATGATTATTGGTCCCAAAAAAGTGACAGGTCACATGGTGCCAGCCCCCTTGGTTTCCATCAATTAAGCTATGTTAAGGAAAAAAAATGTATTTCAGTATTCCCGTTTTGGCTTTTTTATATGCCTGTGCGCCGCAGGTTGCTGCAGGGATGCAATATGATCACCAGTAGATGGTGATCACCAATAGTAACACAAAAACAAGATGATCACTGTAGTAGACCAGGGGTAAGCAACGTTTTTTGGCTGGAGTGCCAAAAAAACCACAATGTCTACCTTGGAAGGTGCCGGAGTGCCGGCATGCCAGAAAAACAGAAGGGGGGGGGCGCGATACATGGCAGGACACGCTGCATATTAGTATATTTAATTATCATAAATGTTGCCTTTGTTGTTGTGTATTCCTTTTTAGTTGAGCATGTTGAAATAAGAGAGAGAGAAAAGAGACAAATGAGAGAGAGAGAGAGAGAGAGAACCAGACATATGCACACAGAGAACCATTTGCACAAACACAGAGAAGCAGAACACCTAGAACAAGACAAAAGCGCACACACATCCAGAACCAGACCCATGTGTGCGCACACAAACACACAAAACCAGTCAGAGGCAGACAAACACACAGAACCAGATGCACAGGCACACGGAGCCGGGCTCCTGGGCCACTGGACATAGTTCAACCCAACAATGCCCTGGTCCCACCAGAGCCCCTGTGCTTCCCTGGGGAGCCAGCCCACAGGCTGCAGCGCAGCTGGCCGAGGCCCCAACCTGGAGCCTGCCCATCGGTCCAACCACCCACCCACCCTGCTCGGCTAAGGCTGCAAAAGGTGCAGTGCTCCTGGCAAGGGACAGTGCCAGCCTCATCCTGGTGTGGGGCTGGACTGGGAGCAGGTGGAGGTCAGGTGGGTTCAGCTGTAAGCAGCCTGGGCTCCATGGTTGGCAGCAACTACCAGAGCCTGGACCAGCTGCAGCCAGCTGCTCCAAACTCTGGCATCAGCTCTATACTGGTGGGTACATGTGCACCTTGGAGCAGATGGTGGGGATAGGGCCTGAGGCAACACAGCCCTTGTGCTGTCTGCTCCAAGGTGCACGTGCAGTCACTGCCAGCATGGAGCTGGTGCAGGGGCTGTGGAGCCCAGTCATCAGCTCTGTGCCAGCAGCGGGGGAGAAGCCAGGGTTGTGCTGTCTCAGGCCGCTCCCCTACTGTCCAGTCTGAGGTGCATGTGCACCCACCAGTATGGAGTTAATACAAGAGCCTGGAGCAGATGTTTGCAGCCTTCTGGCTGCAACTGGCCCAGGGTCTGGACAGCTGCTGCCAACTATGGAGCCTGTTTTGCTTGCAGCAAGGCTTGCAACCACTCAGCTGCCTGCTGGGAGTAACCCGGGCTTCGTGGCTGGCAGCAGCTGCCTAGATGCCAGGCTGGCAGTGGTGCGCCAAGCAAAATGGTCTTGCGTGTCGTGCTCGGCACATGTGCCGGGGGTTGCTGACCCATGGAGTAGATATTGTATTGAGAAGTTATGCCTTTTATTTTTCCATATTATATATTAAAAAGAACTGAATTTCGTAACTGACCTACAATCATGGGATGAAAAAGGAAATTAACTCAATTTCATCCTGTTTTTCTGAAGATATTAGTCCAACAAGATTCTAACTTTTGGGTCTTAACTTTCCAATATGAAACTGCAATTTCATTTTGCAGGTTGAGACCTTTCTTAAAAGAGAGCCCCAAAAGGAGAAAAATAGTTTCCTTCTAATTTCATTTCTCAAAAGAGACCATTCTATTGGATCTTCATTTATCAAAAGGTGATAGCCTTAAGTCTTCGGTGTGAAATTGTCTAAAATGTCTGTACTTTCACATTTGGAAGCTAAGACACAATGGAAAGAATCCTGTGGGTGATATCTTTAGTGAACTGATGCTACTGAAGAGGCTGAAAACGTTAGCTTTCTGTGCCTTCACCATCATCTCACGTGTTCACAGTAAAACCCTGTGGACAAGTGGACCCATGAGCCCCCTTTGATGTGGCCTGCCATCCAAGACTACCCCTTTGAAACAAACCTTCAAGGATGAAACTTTGGGAAACCCTATAGAAAGTAGATGTCATAGCTGTCATAAATCAGCAGGGTGCCAGAAATGACATAGGAGATGGAATATTTGGTTTATGTTTATGGACCACCTCTACACCCTTGCTGATCTTTCCATCACCAGCCAGGATGGTTTTAGGACTGTAGTCCACCACCAGGGCAAATATTTACCAAAAAACCCCCAAAAAAACAACCAACCCAAAACCAAAAAACCCCTAACATCCTACACTGAAGAATGGTCTGGACTGGTCTTCAGTTTTCACTACAGGGAGTAGTTTGTTAAGAAGTCCAAGGAAGTCATAAGCTTACAGGACTGAAAGTAATTAACTGAATTAATATGAACCAGGTTATTGGTTTAGTACAAGTTTTCCTACAGAAAAGTTGATCATCACTGGTTAACAAATACTAAGTTAACCTGCATTTAAATATACTGTTTACACCAAGTTAGCACTACTACCAATTGCTAACTAGGAAAACACATGATATACACATGTAAGTGAATGGTTTCATGTATATTTATTCTGAATTTTACAATTCAACATTTAGTTTATTATAAAATGGTAAACGATGCTTTTTATTTATTAGATGATTAAGTTATTTATGATAAACTGCTTGCTGGTAGAAATCAAAATTCAATTAAAATGCAAAAGGCCAAGCATTTTAATTATTTTTATTAGTTAAATAAAACTACCTTCAAAGTAATGGACACATAAGAAATGATTTTATCAAAACATGTTCTGCATTTATAACCAAATAATGTTTCAAACAAAAATGTGATGTCTAACCTTAGACAACTGAACTGATTTGATCTGGGTTACCAGAATCTTCCAAAATGTAGAACTAAGAGGTGGTATCCTCTTGTACCTAATTGTTATTGCTAGATGAGGAAGATTTCCTACATTTTTAATACTGACATGCTCAAGTCTGAAGAAGCTAGTTATTGAAATGAACTAAACTGACAAAATATACTATCTCCAGACGATGCTACAGCTTGGTTTATCACATCAACAAATTCCCATACCAGATGTTTCACAACTGATTTCCTTCAGTTCAGTGATGTGACTTTCTTTAAAAACAACTTCAGCAAAAACATTGCCTTTTTGAATATTTATGTGACTTTAACAAACATATTTGAACTTTAATACAATCCATACTTCTAAACAATATAAAAATAGCATTCCTTTATTTTCTTCTCCCCAAACCAACAACATAATGTTCTCAAAAATAAAAAGGGGATCTCTTGAACAGATAAGAGTCTCAATACCATAACTGACAGGCTGTGAAGTACGCTAATATATCTGATGAAGAAGCTGACATCCTTTGTACCAAATTAAATAACTGACACATGAGCCATTACCAATAAAAGGTGGTTGGAAAAGAGACTGTCCAAGTTAAAAGAAGGTAGAAAGAACCCCTGAACTTAAGGTACTATATGTCGCGTTACTAAGGTTAGACTGGAGGTATAATGGAAGTAATACCATAC